ACACACACATACACACACACAAACACTCACACATCATATAGACCACAAGGATGGTTAAATCCGTTATCTATATTTTTATTTATTGTTCTTACAAAAAAAGAAAAAAGAAAGCAATATATCACAATGGAATAGATCATCTGGTTATGGGATTTCTATTTACCATAGAATTAATATCCTATTATTGAAAACTCTCCAGGGGAGATAGACTTAATTTGAGAAGTACACGAAGCTATCACAATTGAAGTATGCACCAGTCAGCCAAAAGGAGGCATATTCCTGACATGCACGTATACGGTTATAATAATATGATGAAGAGGAAATAGAAAAAGCAGCGAGTGAAGGCTTCTACTCTTAGTTTACTGAAGTTTTCTTATTAGGTCTAAACTATTTCAGTCTGGGGCTTTTTTGTTCATAGGCCAGCAGCTGTCCTGGTGAACTGAGCCCAACATTTTGAACAATGTTTCTTTTATTGCAGTTTCTTAACCCAGTATAGGTTCTGTGTGCTAAAAATATTTTGTCATCAAAATTAACATTCTAAAATTATGTTGAAAAGGCAAGAAAAGATGCATAAATTATGTTGTATTCTTTAAAGAATGAAACAAGTGTGTTTTTTCTCTCTCCTGAAAAAGAAACCCAACAACAACTACATTGCTTTCTGGTTTTGATCATTACCACAGCTCGCTAACCATTTGTGTCTCTGATAGTGTAAAATATTTACAATCAAGGAGAGACACATTAATGGGGTTTGTTTGGATCATCAGCGATGCACAGCATTTTGCAACCTACCCAGATCCTTTCTAGACCAATTTCCCGGTGTTGCCCCATTTTTGCTGTTGTTTCAAATGTTTCGACACAATTTTAGATCATTTAGGAGACGGGCTGTTTCGACCCTGCCAATCGGGGCCAACTTCAGCAAAGTGGGTGGGATACAATATCCAAACAGACAATTGGATATAAAACAATATACTCCAAAAGCTTTCCCAACCTGGGATTCGAACTTACGTCTTTTGGGTGCAACGGCCGAGAATCTTACTGCTGCACCACAGACGCCTCTCGGTCCGGTCTCCCACAATCATGAAAGCTTTTTTGTTCAAATTGTAGGAAGAGGTATGAAAATACGCAATGGCACAGTGGATGGACAAACATAGGAATGCAAATATTATTATGTGAAAGTGTTAACACACAAAATACAAAAAGAGAATAAAAAAAAAAAAGAAAAGAAAAGAAATTACAACAAAAATAACAAAAAATAATAAATGACATGAAATAAAATAAACTAAGATACGAAATGAAATGAAATGTGATAAAATAAAATGAAAAAAAAATAGAATAAAATAAA